TGGCTATATCTGATGATAAGCCATCGTTGATATAGGCTCCTTCCAGAGACTTTGTCAACTTTTCTACTTCTTGAACGTATTGATTGGCTGTTTTATTTCTTTGTTGTAGATTTAGTAATTTTGCTGAAATTACTTCTACTGATTCTCCTTTGACTTTGGCTGTTAATTTGGCAATTTAATGAGCAATTTTTTGTTCATCGCTTATTAGATTTCTTGCATTGCCCTTCAGCTTAGTCTTTATTAAATTGATTGCTACTGTTTCATGCTCGCCTTTAAGGGAATCAATTAGATTCAATGCGTCTTTGAAACTTTGTAGATTCTCAGCCTTTCCATCGAACTCAGGTACGAGTGATGAGGCTAATTTAAGAAATTCTACTAGTGTTTGTGCCATGTTTTCTATATTTATTTCTTCTACTTGTTCAGTTTCCGTTGATTGTGTCAAGAGTGACCCGATCAAACGTTACCGGCGTGTTTACTGCCGATGGTAAATAAAGCTGGAGATTGTACTTTTCGTTTTGGACTCTGTGTAAACTTGTGAGTTTATGCTGCCACTCCTTAATTAAACTCCTGATTTCATTGTATCATATACAAGAATATCAGTGTGCTTAATTATGTTTGGTTGCAAAACTGGTGCGCTTTTATTTAGGCACTTTTAGGATTTTTCGAAATTATATCTTTGCAGCTTTATTTATTCGACTATTTGTGCCATTCCATGTGGCACTTCCCCTACTTAATTGTTTGCATTTAAGCAGCGGCTTAGAACTTGTCTAAGTCGTTAGCCCCACTCATGTAGCGTTTCCTCAGTGATTTTTATGCAGAAGATATATCTTCAGAAGGAGGTTCACCGAATGAGTATAGTTAACAGTGTGTTTGTTAACTGCAAATGGGGCGTGGTATCTACAACTTCTACCACGTTTACTACACAGGCAGTGTTATCATCTGTCTTGGATTCTTTTCCACCCATTTTAACAATGACGCCCCATCACGCCCCATTTGCAGTTAACAAACATACTGTTAACTATACACATTGTAATAGCGTCAATGAACCTCCTTCTAAAGATATATCTTCTTCACCAAATAGTCGAATAAATAAAGCTGCATAGATATAATTTCGATAAATCCTAAAAAATTCAACCAAACATAATTAAACACACTGATATTCTTGTATATGAATACAATGAAATCAGGAGTTTAATTAAGGAGTGGCAGCATAAACTCACAAGCTTACACAGAGTCCAAACTTCAGACATTTTACAACGTCTAAGGGATAATCTGGTAAACGAAAAGTACAATCTCCAGCTTTATTTACCATTGGCAGTAAACACGCCGGTAACGTTTCATTGACTCTTGACACAATCAACGGAAACTGAACAAGTAGAAGAAATAAATATAGAAAACATGGCACAAACACTAGTAGAATTTCTTAAATTAGCCTCATCACTCGTACGTTAGTTCGATGGAGAATCTACAAAGTTTCAAAGACGCATTGAATCTAATTGATTCCCTTAAAGGCACGCATGAAACAGTACCAATCAATTTAATAAAGACTAAGCTGAAGGGCAATGCAAGAAATCTAATAAGCGATGAACAAACAATTGTTCATTAAATTGCCAAATTAACAGCCAAGTCAAAGGAGAATCAGTAGAAGTAATTTCAGTAAAATTACTAAATCTACAACAAAGAAATAAAACAGCCAATCAATACGTTCAAGAAGTAGAAAAGTTGACAAAGTCTCTGGAAGGAGCCTATATCAACGAAGGCTTATCATCAGATATAGCCACTAAGTACAGCACAACGCTGGCTGTCAAGGAAATGACTAACAACTGTTCCATTGATTAGGTAAAACTTATCATGCAGGCTGGCTCATTCAGTAACATGAATGATGATATGTCCAAATTTGTCAATAGTTGCACAGAGGCAACAGGACGTTCGAACACTGTCCTGTTCTACCAGCAACAACATAAAAGGGGTAACCGTGGAAATTACCGCGTAAGAGGTAATAACCATTATAATGGTTATCGCCAATACAATAACAATGATAGAGGACGAGGCCGATATAGAGGAAACTCTAGAGGCCGCGGTAACTCAAACAGAGGACACAACAATATTGTCCGAGTTACACAAAACACGTCGGGATACTCCCAGAACCCTTTAAGCAACGAGACCTATGTATAAAGGTTCATTCAATAAATTTTACTCTCAATATTTATGTGTCATTTCAGAATGCACTAACCAAAAGAAAATTAACATCCCTTGTAGACACAGGTGCAGATATTTCACTTCTCAAAGCAAATTCCGATGTTTATCAATACATCCAAAATGATACAATAATAAGTATCCAAGGCAAAGGCCAGGGAGTTAAAAAGTCCCAAGGTCTAGCATCAATAGAGCTACAAATATACTACTATACTACTATATAATTCCACACGATTTTCATGAAGTAGATTCAACTTTCTCAATAACATGTGATGGAATTATAGGCATTGACTTAATAAAACGATTCAATTGCCAGTTAGACTTCAAACCAACTGAAGATTGGTTTATATTAAGACCCAAAAACTTAAATTTTCCAATTTATGTTCCAATAACATACAGTTCTGGTAACAATTCATTATTTCTATTTTTTTTTTATTTTATTAAATACAACTAACACTGACCAGTTGGTCAGCATAAACAAACTAGAAAATGAACCACTTTCGAACTATGATTTAGTTCAAACTACTCAAGAAATCGTTTTAGCTCAGTTAAAGAAAAATTTTCTGCCCCAATTCAAAAAACAGTTAGTAGAGTCATGCACCAAATATAGTGATGTACTCGGACTAGAAACCGAATCGATAACCACTTATAACTTCTATAAGCAAAAATTGAGACTAAAAGACAACGAACCAATAGACTAAATACAAAAACAAGTTGGGAAATTGATCACCGACAATATAGTCGAACCAGCTGTATCCGAATATAGTATCCTTTTCGACGAGCAATGGCTCATATCGCTCCCCGCGATCGCCATTTGGTTTAAAAATAGCGGCAAACTCATTTCAGAGGATGATGATCATAGCATTCTCTGGACTCGAACCTTCTCAAGCATTCATTTATATGGATGACTTAATGGTAATAGGATGTTCCGAAAAATATATGCTTAAAAACTTAACAGATGTTTTTGAAATATGTACGAAATACAACTTAAAATTGAATCCAGAAAAATGTTCATTTTTTATGCACGAAGTGACTTTCCTAGGTCACAAATGCACTAATAAAGGAGTGTTGCCAGATGATAAAAAATATGACATCATCAAGAATTATCCAGTCCCACATGATGCGGACAGCGCTAGACGATTTGTTTCATTTTGCAATTACTACCGTCGTTTTATTAAAAACTTCGCCGACTCGTCACGGCACATAACCAAATTATGTAAAAAGAATGTACATTTCTATTGGATAGATGAATGCCAAAACGCATTTCAAAATCTTTAAGAAAGGCTAATGCACCCTACGTTATTACAATATCCAGGTTTTCGCAAAGAATTTTGCATAATAACTGATGCTAGTAAACAAGCTTGTGGAACGGTTTTATCTCAAAACCATAAAAGAATTCAACTCCCAATAGCATATGCATCACGTTCATTCACAAAGGGTGAAAGAAATAAAAGCACAACAGAACAAGAGTTAGCTCCTATTCATTGGGCAATAACACATTTTCGACCATAAATATGTATATGTCAAACTTTTCACAGTAGAAACGGATCACAGACCACTTACATTTTTATTTTCAATGACAAACCCCAGCTCAAAGTTAACACGCATGAGACTTGAATTAGAAGAATATGATTTTACAGTTGAATACTTAAAGGGAAAAGACAATTTTGTGGCAGACGCCCTATCGCGGATAACAATATCCGAACTAAAGAATATTCAAAACAAAGTCCTGAAAGTCACTACCAGGCAACAAAGTAGACAAAATAAAAACTGTGAAGTTAACAATAAAGAACTTTTTCCTAGGCAGAGTCTTAAAAATGTATCTAAGCCCAACGTACATGAAGTCATTGTCAATGACGAAGTACGGAATGTAGTGACCTTGCGAAGAACTGAATCTAAATGTTTATTAAAACAAGGGAATAAAGTTATAGCAAGAATAGATGTTGATGATTTGTATACTAATGGAACTCTTGACTTAGGTCAGTTTTTCCAAAGGCTTGAAACGCAAGCCGGTATTTTAGATATCAGCCAACTCAAAGTGGCACCGACTGAAAAGATCTTCTAATCAATTTCAATAGAAAATTTCAAAAGAATGGGCAATAAAATATTAAAATCATTGAGAGTAGCACTACTCCAGCCGGTGACCCATATACAAAATGGAAAAGGGATACAAATAATATTGTCTACATATCATGACGATCCAATTTAAGGAGGTCATACTGGCATAACAAAAACCCGGGCGAAAATTAAAAGACACTACTATTGGAAAAATATGACTCGTCATTTAAAAGAGTACATACGTAGATGTCATAAATGAACGCTAGTGTCTTTGTATGTTTCGACATTTGACACATACAAAGACACTAGCGTTCGCCGAAGTTCTAACAGCTATTGTTTTTGAGCGGTTTACATGTACTAGCGATCACCATTGTTAGGTACTCAGCTGGTTTCGCACACACTTTCTATCAACGCTTCTAATGGCAGCAGAAAATAACGCCTCTAGTGCAGTGCCCTCTGCAAACAGGGTGACTTTTCTGAAGCGCAAAGTCATTTCAATTTATGACAGTTTGCAAACACTTCAAAATGCTCTAACTAATTCGACACTTAGTGCAATTGATGAGTGCGGTCCTAATGTTAGGCTGAAGCAAATCGAGCGGCTACAGGCCTCATTTGATATTACTCACATTAGCCTCGAAGAGCTAGACTTGGATGAAATTGGTAGCCAATTGCGTGAGGACTTCGACGAGTTAGCAATTTTTATGGAAATTTCGGTTCGGAGTGAAATCGCGAAACGTGTCTCAATAATGCCCTGCTCAACATTTCGCGACCAATCTGTGCTGCCCGCGCAGACAGTCAGAGCTAAGGCACCGCCGGCATTACCCGCATTAAAGTTGCCTACGTTCAGTGGTGGTTACACAGAATGGGCCGACTTTTATTCTATGTTCACAACCGTCATAGAAAATCATCCGGATTTAGCAGATATCGAAAAGCTGCAGCATCTTCGATCGTGCCTGAAGGATTCAACGCTGGAGGCAATTCGATCATTGGAAATAACAAACGATAATAAAGCCATAGCACTTAATTTATTGGAGAAAAGGTTTAACAATAGACGTTTGTTTTTTCAGGTTGAGATATTGGGGCTCAAGAGGGTAGCAGGTGGATCGGCCGTGGCGCTAAGGGAGTTGTCCGACCAATTCAACGCACACATTCGCGCATTAAAGACCATGGGCAACACCGAACAGATCGCTGGATGCATAATTGTGCAGATTATCCTACAAAAGCTGGACCCAACATCACAAGCCAAGTGGGAAGAAAGGCTAGAGGATTCGACTTTTACAATCAACACGAC